CGCACAGAGACACACACACACATACGCATACGCACACACACACACACGCACAGGCACAAACACACAGACACACACAGAGACACGCACACACAGACAGACACACATACGCATACGCACACACACACACACGTACAGACACACACACACAGAAATACACACACAATCACACATACGTAAAGACACACAGACACACGGTCAAACACACAGACACACTCACACAGAGACACACAAACACACTCAAACACACTCAAACACACACATCCTTGTCTTTAGTATATTGTAGGGACACATGACTAGGCCATACTTTCTGGGGACCTTTTGACCCTGCTGAGCGCACACACACACACACACACACACACACAAACCACACACACACACACACACACACACTTCCTTCTTTGCTTCACTTAATAACTCAAACACGCATCAAAGAAAATCCGATCGCACAAAAATCCGACTCCAGATGGAGAAGTTCGGGTTTCTTGAACACATTTGTGACTCACAGAAGTAAAGAACCACATCAACATTTCACACATCAACACATCAAAGGGGGCTTCACGTGCACTACGTGCACTGACACGCGTCTCACACCGTGGACGAGAAAAACACTTTTCTCAGGAAGAGCTTTTGGTAATTATAACCCACTCCAACATGAAAGGACCAGAAGCTAGTTTCATGTGAGGTAAACAAAGAAAAAGATGTCAGTTTTCTCCGTTAAAAAATCCTCCTCTGTGATTGGTCGGCTCCAGTGGCCTAAACATGCAGCACATTTCAGCTTATTTAGCACTAAAATTCAAAATAATATCTAAATATCTATAATATCTAAAATAGTATCTAAAGAAACCGAATCCAAGAGTAGTGCAGTTTACAGTGTAGTTTAATTTATGGACACAGTAAGATAAAAAATACCCATCTTTTACTGATAAGCAGCCAGAGAAGTTCAGGTATCATTTAGCACTAAAATTAAAAATAACATCTAAAATAGTATCTAAAAAAACTGAATCCAAGTTTAAGGCAGTTTACAGTGTAGTTTAATTTAAG